CGTGCGTCAATCACTGACATCAATTTTTTTATTCTCATGCCCACTGATTTGAAGGCGTCAGACGTATCACTGCGTCAGCGAAAATAGCGTAATAAGTATGTGACACGCCACGTAGGCTTAATGTTTGCATTATTCATTATTCTGCAAAACAAAAACAAACAAAACAAAACCTCTGAATACGATATCACCCACTTGGTGCGTCAGAGACCACACGAGTCACTGACGTAGGCATCCGTCAGTAAAATGACGTCTCATGTGCAACAGGCCTTCTTACTGATTCTGCATTCATTGTTTTGTTATGTTTAGGTGGTTTGGGACCATAACAGAAAAACTGAATGTTCGTAAGAAGTTTGTGAAGGGCACATCGGAGAAAAAGCATGCCAAACAGAAGTTTGCCAAATCTTCCCAAAACAACTTTGTTGTTCTGCATGGACAGGCGAAAAAGGTAAGATTGATTGGTTGCTTTTATTCATATCCCAGGCAACATACCAAAAAGGTACAAAACATTGTTTAAAAAACGTTAACATTTCTTTAAAAGGATTGGGTAACTTTGTCTCAGATTCTTAAACAAAATCCTGGATTTAGCTCATGCTGCAATGATAATTATAAACCTTTAGGTCAGTCAGGAACTCCATGACTTTTACAAGCCAATTGACGTTCTGATTATCAAAATAAGTTTATGACTGGAATTCGAAATTTCAAAAACCGTTTCCCTTACGGTTTTTATTACACTACAGTCAATTGGGTAAAATAAGTATGGTAAAACCGGTCACTCAAAGATTTTTTTACTTTTTTGAGGCACTTCGTGATCATTTTAAACTACAATTCTTTTAGGGCTTCAATATTACACCATATCACAGACACTGATAACACGTACGGCCATGCAACTCAGATTTAACAACGATGCCTTAAGTTTATTATGCAGAATAATTAATCCTACCATGGAAGAATGTTCGGTAAATCCTTAGATACGGAAATAAAAAGTGAACCTATTCAAAAGCTAGGATGGGGTTCTGATGGGCTCACGGGTTAGGGAAGAGGGATGGGATCATGGGAGGGGATCGAAAGGGCCGGAGGACGTCCACTTTTTGACCAATTTGGATTGGCGTCTATTCATGAACCGAAGCCTGTTGGCATTTCACTCCACACCGCCAGAGAGTTTGGCATGTTGGGCTATTCTACTCAAATTTAAACCCGACGCTCCCGATAAATTTTAAATATTTCAAAGCGCCTAATGCCATTCCATGGTATCTGCGACCATGAAAATATCAGAATATGCAGTTCTGATATAATTTTCAAACGAGAATAGAAAATCGGTCGATTGTAGTCAAGAAATATTGTTTTAAAGCTAAAGTAATATCAGTCTTGAGAGGGAGCTATGCAACATAAAGAGTTTATTATTTACAATTTCATCACTTTAGACTCGATTTCAACCGCGACAACGATCATTATTTGAATATTGTAAAATCGCATATGCTTCCAGTATGTTCATTTGTACTAAATTTATGACCCCATACCAAAACTTTGTATTATCTTTAAGGGGGAAATCAAAAAAATTGTATTACCTTTTGTCTTTTTTGTTCCTTCTCTCTATTACTCAGACGATGGATCGAATAAACGATGGGCAACATCCACCATCCCAAGACTTTGGTCGCTACACTACGCCGTCCAATCATATCGTACCGCCGCAACAAGCTCCGCCCAACTCAGACCAGTTCAGTCATCCACCCAATCACGGTCCACCGCCTGCTCCTCCAGTCCCGCCCACCCACGGTCCCCGAAGATCGTCAGTGGACGAAGGTGTGCGCAGCATGGTGACGTCACAGCGTAATAAGATGACTGGAGGACAAGCAACGCCTTCTGACGGGTCAACGTACTACTTTGATAATTTTTACACGGATAGCGACGACGATGACGATCTCAATGACGAGGAGACGGACCTGTTTCGCAGGTGACAATACGGCGAAGTCAAAGAGCGTCAACATATATCAACAAGTTTACTAGTTTGACTTATTGAATTCCGTAAAGTAGTGACTGTGGCGTATGTACAGGGGTAAGGGGCACCTAGCTACCCTCATCCCAATCGCGAAAATATTCTGTGTCAGATCCAGGATTCTATTGGGGGAGGGGGCACACGTCTAAAGAAACTATGACAGCTCATCAAAATATAACTGACAGGAAATAAAAGAAAAAAATAGATATCAATAACAAGAATACAAAAGAGGCCGGTCCCGAATTTGTGTATCATTATTACTACTGCTTTTTTTCGTCCTGAAGATGATGATGCCAGATTGGGTTTTACTAACTTCCCTTTCCCCCTCCCCACCTGATTCGCCACCGATATTTATACATGGCTCATACAGAATGGTGTATCTCCCTTAGTGTCCTCGGATAGAGATGGCTAACCGCACACTCACATTTTATTTAACATCATTGGGTCATTTCTGCTTTGCCAATGAACTGAATGAAATTGCAATAGGTTAATGCCATTTTCCCATGCACACAATGATACTAAGTATAATCCATATAATATTGGAATTACATGCACTTCCAATACCAGGGGAGGTATTCTTGAAAAAGGGTGGACATGTCTTTAATTGAATCACGAAAATAGAAGGGGGAAGTGGGCGGGGGGGGGGGGGGTTGGAGAGGCCTTGTTTTCATGCACTCCATCCATCTATTATTGCTGGAGCCCCCCCCCCCCTCCCCGACACCAATGCCCCCTCAATACCTTGGCCCTCGTTACGCCTCCTCCACGAGTATTGTTATTTTCGCTTTCAATATGTTATCCTCTTATTGTCAGAAATGTGTCATAAATAGTTTAATGAATTAATAAATTGAAGAATATAAAATATAAATGAGTGTGTTTCGTTTGTTTGAGATAAACTTGAGTTTGGGTCATGTGCTTTAAAGGCCAAGTCCACACCAAAAATAACTTAGTTAAAATAGAAGCAGAAAAATCAGACCAACCAATCAAAAAAAGTTTGAGCAAAATCGGATAACTAGTACAAAAAAGTTATGAATTTTTCATGACACAAACTACTTTGAAAACCACAAGACAAATTGGCAACTCACTCATTAGTCTGTGACGTCATTGCCTCACAATCCACTAATTGTTTTCGTTATATTGATGATATAAATTTCCCAATTTCCCAGAAGAATATTATTTCCTCACACCAGCATCCAAGTTATATTTATAGTTATATGTTTTTGTGTAGATGCACTAATTATAGAGTTATTTTTTTCAGTTAAATCATGAAAAGTGGGAATTTTGATAAACTATTTATATGAGTTTCAATAATTATGAATATACAATGTTCAGGAAATAATATCAATTCTCCAAAGTTCGTAAAAGATTTTGTAAAATGTCTTGCACGCAATATGATACGAATCTATAACTTGGGCAAAGGCATGGGAAAATCAAGTTTTGTGGGATAAAAAGAGAAATTAATGAATACAAATATATAAAGCGATTGGTAAATGGTGAGGCAATGACGTCACAAACTGATAATCAAATTGGCAATTTGTGTAGTGATTTCCATTGTGCCATAGTTTTCATAGTTTTTCAAAAATTCATAACTTCCTTGTTAGTTATCCGATTTTACTCAAACTTTTTTTGATTGATTTGTCTTATTTTTTTGTGGACTTGGTCTTTAAGTGTGAAAGAAACGATTGAGAAAGATAAACATTGTTCTATTTTGAGATTTCGAGATGGCCGAATCTTGCTGGAAATCACATACAAATGAACATGCATGCATGCAATACTCATGTGGCCTGAAAGTTTGGTCCAAACCTTTAAGCTATTCCTCACAGTATTTTTAATATCAGGTCATTTCTAAATCATTCATCACAGATTAATAGTATTAAAAAAAACGATATACAATACATCCATATTTATAAAATATACCAGACATTTAATACGAAACATAATGGGGCCATTTCGTACAAACAGATAAAATATGTTTCAAAATATTTCTGAACACGATTCGTTGAGGCGCCATGCAGGAGCTGCGCAAGGCAATCCGAGATCAAGGCGTATGAAGTTAAAATAACCAGTGATCATCATGACTTCAAAACTTTACTCGCTTTAAATGTTACTATTTTTTTGTATTAACTTTTTTTTAAATGTGTCTTTGAGGAGTAATACAAAAAAATAGCAATTCACAAAATTCTCATTCTGAGGGCATTCTTTCTTAAACCTTCAATGGCATATTTCATTCATTTCTGTACGTCGAGTCAAACCGAATTGATGCCATTTATAATTCAGTTTCTTTTTAACAAGAAATATATTGGTTCAATTAAGATTCATGAACAGACATAGGTCCCATTTACGAAATAATCTACTTTTGCTCATGTATTCAGTAAAAAAGAATAATAATCAAATTCTGCATCTTGGAACCTTCATTAATGCGAAACGGGCACCTAGTCGAAAGAAAAGGGGGGCTCTTATCTGAATCAAAGGGGGCACTATTCTTATGCAAAAAGGAGACCTTTGGGGGTACTTACAAAAGCGGAATCGCTTGGGGAGGGGCATACATGCATTATCAATTATATCCTGTACAAAGTGCATTATAAAAGACAAATCAGGATATTTTACCGACATCGATACCACTGCTGTAATGTATTTTCAATTGAATCATCTTTCGGTTAAGGCGTATACATATATCATCACCACATGCATCAGGGGCGGATCCAGGAATTTCTTCCCGGGGGGGGGGGGGGGGGGGGGGGCACACGGGGGGTAAGAGGACATATATATATATATATTTTTTTTGGTCCCCCAAAAATCGCAACGACTCAGCCAGCCGCTGAAGAAGCGGGGGGGGGGGGCTGTGCCCACTGGATCCGTCCCTGTGCATTTATAACTGATTATGTTACTGATTAAAGATATATTTAGTATTTACATGATTGTACTTAAAACCCCATTGGATTTTTTTCTCCCTCCGAACAAGATATAGTCTTACAAATTTGTATCGCTCGTTTGCCAATGAATATTCAGACCATCACACTCAGCTGCAAAATATAATTATTAAGCAGTATCTTGGACCATGTAAAGAGAGAAAAAAAATATTGAAATCACGATCGTCCCTGATATTAATCTTGCACAATATAAAGGGGTATACAGTGGCGTACGCAGGATTTTTTCAAGGTTTTTTTTTTTTTTTTTTAAATCGGGCCCAAAATTTCGCAACGACTCAGCCAGGCGCTGAATAAGCCGCTGAATAAGCGGAGGGGGGGGGGGGGGGGGGGAGGTCTCGAAATTTGAAAAATTGACATTTTGTTCCGTTGGGGGGGGGGGTAATGTCAACTTTTTTAGGTAAAAAAAAATCAAAAGGGGGTGGTTTTCCCAGAAAACATACCCCCCCCCCCTTGCGTACGCGCCTGGGGGTATACAGGCGCGGATCAAGGATTTTCCAATAAGGGGGGGGGGCGGAAATTTGAAAATTGCGCAGACAGTTTTTTCAAGGTCATATTAGAAGCACCATACCGGTACAATTTTTGACATTTTCATAGGGGGGAGGGGGCTATAGCCTCTTGCCCGCGGAAGCTTTGCCTTTTCATTAATTATTAGAGAAAAAAGATTTGTTGTACCATTCTCGACTTTTATTACTTGACTGAATTCAGCCCCCCCCCCCTCCCGCGCGAAGCATGGAAGCTTTGGCCTTTCATAGTTAATGAAATTATTAGAGAAAGAAGATGATTCGTTGTTCCATTCTCGACTCTTAATCCTTGTCTGAATTCAGTTCCCCCACCTCCTGCGCTTTGCGCGGAAGCTTAACGTTTCATTAAATTATTAGAGAAAGAAGATGATTCGTTGTACCGTCATCAACTCTTTATCCTTGTCTGAATTGAGTCCCCCCCCCCCCTCCCGCGCGAAGCGCAGAAGCTTTGACGTTTCATTAAATTATTAGAGAAAGAAGACGATTCGTTGTACCGTTCTCGACTCTTAATCCTTGTCTGAATTCAGTTTTCCCCTGCCCGCGCACAGCGCGTAAGCTTTGACGGTTCATTAAATTATTAGAGGAAGAAGACAAATCGTTGTACCGTTCTCGACTCTTAATCTTTGTCTGAATTGAGTTCCCGCCACCCCCCCCTCCCGCGCGAAGCGTGGAAGCTTTGACGTTTCATTAAATTATTAGAGAAAGAAGACGATTCGTTGTACCGTTCTCGACTCTTAAACATAAACTTGAGTTCTGGTAAAAAAGAAAATGAATTCTCGCAGAATCTAACGAAACTTACACTGAATGTTCAAGATTACAAATAAATGTCATGTGCCAAACAATTTTGGAAGAAAATGTATACTGGCTGAGTAATGAGCATAGAAAGATAAGGAAATCACGGTAGTACTAGCCCCGACGCGAATTTTTTTTCCGTACTCGAGAGAGCAAAAATCCCATGTGCGCATGCGCGTGGACTTATGATTTCTCTGCTACTTCCCATACGAAATGTACATGTATTCGCATGTACTGTGCACGATTCGCGTTCTACGAGTAAACGATGGCATAGTAGTCTTCAAACACAGACTCTGATTTGCCAGTTTGACAAATCAATATGCGTATGTGTCGCGATGTGCTTATTCAAGTCTGTGTAGTTGTATGATTCAGACCCAGTAGTGCATATGGAAATACATTGCAACTTGTATAGAATGGTATAGTAGTCTGCAAGCACAGACGCTAATCTGACAGTTTGACAACATACTAGTAGTGTGCTGAGAAGTACTTTATTCAAGTCGCCAACTTGTATAGAATGGTATAGTAGTCTGCAAGCACAGACGCTAATCTGACAGTTTGACAACATACTAGTAGTGTGCTGAGAAGTACTTTATTCAAGTCTGCGTAGATGTATGATTCAGACCCTACTGGTGCGTGCGTTAGAAATGCATCTCAATGTGTAGAGTGTAGTATAGTAGTCTGCAAGGACATAATAATATATTGTGTATTGATGAGTAGTGATTTTATGCAAGTTTGTGTAGTTTAATGATTCCAGACCCCATGGTAGGCCTATGTATTGTGCCACTGCTCTCTCACACTCTTTCTCTCTCTCTCTCTCTCTCTCTCTCTCCATATCTCTCTCTCTTTCTCTCTCTCTCTCTCTCTCTAGCCCTCCCTCCAGTATGCTCGCACTCTCTGTATTACTTTTATTTATAATCATGGTCTGCTGAGAGCCAGAAGGATGTTAACTCTTAACACAACGAATGCCCTTCTGGCTCTCAGCAGACCATGATTATAAATAAAAGTAATACAGAGAGTGCGAGCATACTGGAGGGAGAGCTAGAGAGAGAGAAAGAGAGAGAGAGAGAGAGAGAGAGTGAGAGAGCAGTGGCACAACACAGAAAACTACGAAAACTTGAATAAAAGCACTACTCAATACACAATAGGCCTATATTATTCTGTCAAACTGTCAAAGGAGAGTCTGTGCTTGCATACTACTATGCCACTCTATAAGTTGAGGTGCATTTCCAATACACGCACCAGTAGGGTCTGAATCATAAAACTACTCAGACTTGAATAACACTATTTTGTCAAACTGTCAGATTAGCGTCTGTGCTTGCAGACTACTATGCCACTCTGCAAGTTGAGATGCCTTTCCAATACACGCACCAGTAGGGTCTGAATCATAAAACTACACATATTTGAATATAAAGCACTACTCAAGACACTATGTTGTCAAACTGTCCGATTAGCGTCTGTGCTTGCAGACTACTATACCATGCTATTCAATTTGGGATGCATTTCTGTAAGCACTAAAATGTCTGAATCATACAACTACTCAGACTTGAATACTAGTACTATTGCTACGCACGATATATGCGTAATTGTTTTGTCAAACTGGCAAATCAGAGTCTGTGTTTGAAGACTACTATGCCATCGTTTACTCGTAGAACGCGAATCGTGCACAGTAGATGCGAATACATGTACATTTCGTATGGGAAGTAGCAGAGAAATCACAAGTCCACGCGCATGCGCACATGGGGTATTTGCCCTCTCGAGTACGGAAAAAAAATTCGCAGCCCCGACACCATGTGTGTTGTCCCATATACATCTATCTGTGTAAGTGATTGTTACTTTACCAAGACTCTGCCAAATTTATGAGGATTTTGATGACTCTAGAACCTTGCATTACACACCATTACTTACATGCTATATGATCAACTTTTCTGATCCATTCCACACCTTTTCTTTCACAATGCAATCGCATTACCAGTACTCAAGTTTATCTTTAATCCTTGTCTGAATTCAGTTTTCCTCTGCCCGCGCATAGCGCGTATAAGCTTTGACGGTTCATTAAATTATTAGAGGAAGAAGACGAATCGTTGTACCATTCTCGTCTCTTAATCCTTGTTTGAATTCAGTTTTCCCCCTCCCGCGCGAAGCGCGGAAACGTTGACGTTTCATTAAATTATTAGAGAAAGAAGATGATTCGTTTTACCATTCTCGACTCCCAATCCTTGTCTGAATTCAGTTGCCCCCTCCCGAGCGATGCGCGGAAGCTTTGAAATTTAATTAAATTATTAGAGAAAGAAGACGATTCGTGTACTCGACTTGTCACAATTTTCAAAAATATTTCTTTGTCTGCTCCTTTTTCGTCCTATGTCCTCTTACTGCCCTTACCGCCCCTGGCTACGCGCCTGCTTTAAAGGGAAAATAAAAAACAATCATGATTTTCTCTTCTCTTTTCTTTTCTCTTCTTTTTTCCTTTCTCTTCTCCTTTCTTTTCTCTTCTCCTTTTTTTCTCTTCTTCTCCTTTCTTTTTTTCTCTTCTTTTCTTCCTTTTTTTTCTTCCTTTTTTTTGCGCCGCCAATAGGGGGGGGGGGGGGGGCCGCGGCCGTTTCGGCCCCCCCCCTGGATCCGCCACTGGTATATATCAGTGTCTAAACGTATTGCATGTTATCGCTTTGAGGTTTCCCTTTGAAGGTACCCTTTTTTTTTTTTTAATCTCCAGCGAGTTGTTGTTGTTGTTGTTGGTAAATGTTTAATGGCGTTCATTCAGTAATGAATATATACGCCATAAATATCTTCAATTTTATAAGAAAATCAGTTATAGTCTTCATAAGAAAACTGAGAATAAAGATTTGTAATGAAATAATTAATTAATAAGTAACGCAATTTATTCAGAGTCTCTCGATGGTTTTCAACTTCGTGTTTCTTCTCCAGCGAGTGCCCTTTTTTGTCGCCCCCCCCCCCACACACACATACATTTGAAAATTTGGAAGTTGTTTCGCCGCCCCTACATATCATACACGACTGTCTGTAGGCTCTGGTCATAAACTAAATGCCTCGCCTAAATTAAACAAACACAACAACAACATCTGTCATAAGTACACGTGTGCAATAAACATAGCAGACGACACAACAAGAGCTACAAAACTTGGCGTTCACTCATTGGTTCGCTAGCAGGCTTGACACCTTTTAAAAATATTAATGCGCAAGGGGAATTTTAGTTATTGGTATTTTAGATATATTTTTTTCCTTAAAACGATAACCCATTCGTTATTAACTGATTATTTTTATTCAATAAGATCATAAACTAAGGATTAAACTACCTTTAATGCTGTTTTTATGAAAAATAAATATGCACACTTTTATCTTCGCGTAATATTCGTGGTGATGAGCATGCGTATGATCACCGTTGCTGAATGCTTGATCCGCCTACTTCGACAAGATGATGTCCCCAAAACTGCGCATATTTGTCCTTTTGTTGGCTGTATTAAGCCTATCAATACATGTGGTGAGCAGCCAAGATGACGAAGAAACTGAAGGTTCGTATATTTATTCAATTATATTCTTAATTTGTTGAAAAGATGGAATAGACTAACTCTGTTCAAGAATTTCTCGCTCATTCTCTCGAGTCAGCTCGAGTTCAGCGGGAAGGTGTCACAAACTGTGCCCGAGCTCCGGCGTGCTGGCATGCAGATGTATGCAGATCGGTTCCAAGTTGGACGTTCAACCTCAAGTCCAACTGCACTAACAATCAAGTATCAACACTAACTTGGCTAAGTCAAGACAAGACAGACTAGGGTCAGGGCAGGCACAAGACTCTGACTCTGCTGATTAATAACGTCATACTTCAATTTGTAGAGTAAAGTCAAACGGCCAGCTAGATCAGGATTCATTTCTAACGTTAGATTGGCAGGAAGGGTTTTCAATTCTCATTTTCAATTTCAGGGATCAGGCAGCCCAATGTAGATCTAATGCCTTGGTCACAAATACCCTTACGGGCTGCTACGAACGCCGTACGAACGATTTTCAGATCATTTCGTAAGATCTTCTTAAGGCGGCCGTACGAAACAAGCGCTCGTAGACCGTTCGTAAGAACGCAGATTGGTCGATGGTCTTGTCCAAGATTTTTTTTAACATCGTACGAAACCCTCTCTTCGTAAGGCGGCAGTAAGAACGCCGTAATTACATCGTAAGAACCACGCAAGATCTTCGTACATTTCGAAGGGTCGAGGGACAATTTTAGAAGCTTCAAATTATTACGATGACCGTAAGAACGCCTCAAGTTGTTCATAGAGGGCTCTTACGGCTTTCGTAAGAACGCCTTACGAGCGGAGATTCTTGTGGTCTTCATACGAATGACTCCTGGCGTTCGTAAGAAGTTCGTAAGGTGCTCGTAAGGTGTACGTACACAATTTATGCAAATTTTGAGTTTTAACGGTTATAAAGCCTCACTCTGTTCATAGTGTTCGTCAAAGGATCATCTCCTGTCGAAGAAATATTGGACCAAAGGGGAAATCTGTTAGAGGAAAGAGATGAGGAGGAAAGAGAAAGAGGAGGAGAGCGGCAACAGCAATATCAAGCAGAGGCGCCGGAAGTGGGGGCATTCACCCCCCTCCCAACCCTATAAAAAACAGTAAAGGAGTATAGATGGTTTGTATTTTTTAACCAAACTTAATTAAATTAAATTAAATTGTATTCCATTCAAAGAAAAGGAAAGTTAATAGGGATTAAATTTCGTATACATTCCGCTTGCTCCTACATTTTATCAATGGATGTTTTTATAATATATGCGATTTGCGCATATCGTGGAAATATTGTAAGAGGATGGGAAAGTGTTTTTTTTTAAAAATATTATAGTGGTGAGAAGACATGAGCCCCTGAACACTGGCGTACTAATGGGCGGGGGGTATTTCTAATTCGATACCAGTGATTTCCAAATGTTGCTGAAATGACATGATTTTCCGGTATTTTTTCTCAATATTTTGGTAAATCATATTTTTTTATGCGTTTGTTTGAAAATTACTAATTCCCAAATTAACAGCTGGGCATAAAAATATGCTTATTTAGAAGCCTTCATGTTAGGGCCTGCAGAACGGCGGGGCTCGGGGCTCGGGGCTCGAGCCCCCCCTCACTTTTTAAAAAAAGAGGAAAGGAAAGAAAGAGAAAGAACAAAATGTGTGATCTACCAATGTCACAAATGAGATATCAAAATATGCTCATCTGACCGTAATTAGATGCCGAAAACCTTTGAGCTTCCAGGGGCTCTGCCCCCTGGACCCCACCAAGGGTCCTATGGTGGACCCCCTGGATGCTCATCTGACCGTAATTGAATACCTATAACCCCTGAGCATTCGTGGGCTCTGCTCCGTGGAATCCCCGACAATTAGTGACCTGCCAGTGACACAAATAAGGTATCTAAATATGCTTATCTGACCGCAGTTTAATGCCTAAAAACCATGACCTTCCGGGGGCTTAGTCCCTTGACCCCCGCCGGTGCAAAGCCCCCGGACCCCACGCCAATTTACGCTACGCTCGCTACACTCTAACCTGATCGTTAATACTCCACTTTGAAAAATGTTCCATGGGGCCTGCATGTAACATGTAAGCCTAGGAGTGGTGGTGATGCAAATTTTCCTTCTGCCCCCCCCCCTCCTCCAAGCGATTTTGCTCATTACGCCACTGTCCCTGGAAGGTGAGCCCCCTGGATTTTTTGCCACCCAATCCCAAACTGATTTCGGCGCGCCTGATATCAAGAAATGATGGCCATATCGGAAGCGACCGGGAGGAGGCGGTGGAAGATGACGACGACGACGAGGAGGGAGAACCATCAAGACGGCAGTTTGACGGCGATGAAGTTTAGGTAACGGGGAAACTGAGAAAGGAGAAGTAGTCCTATGACTTTGATGCCACCACAGAGCAAAAACTTGTTGACTTCTTCGGTTAACATGACTGCTTTTATAATAAAGGAAGTAACAGAATGATATTCTAACAGCAAGTTCAAGAAACACTTTACGGAGTTGCAGTTGCAGTTGTAGTCTTCTTGGCAATACTGTCATCGTGTAATATCGAACTTTCAACAGTCATAGAATTTTCGACAGTATACGGCAGCGCTTTTTTTGCAACCCGACCAAATAGGAAACAAATTCTTAAGCTCTTCTTACGAATGACTTGTGAATGCCGTGAGTTAAACGTACGACCACCTTACGAGAACAAAAACTCGTAAGATTGGCGTACGTCTGACGTAAGAAGAACACAAGGCGTTCTTACGAAAACGTACGAACTCTGGGGCTATTGTATAACCGAAAATCACTTCGTTTCTCAAGAAGGTCTTGAGTTGTTCTTGCGAATTAAACGGCGTTCGTACGAACTCCGTAAGAAGGACGTAAGAATATGTGCCCCATCTGCGAATCTCTACGAACTCTGAAATTCGTAGGAACAGGGAGATTCGTACGAACGAATCGTTCGTACGAACATTTGTGACCGTAGCATAAGTTAGCTGTTTCGCTTTTTGCATGCAAAATCATAAAAGTGTAGGGGATTCACTAAGTACCAACAGGAATGATCAGAGTTCAGACAGGAATTGGAGATTAAAACACCGGCTTTAATCAGGCGACAACAGCCTCCGAAACAACGATAAGAATATCACAGACAACTGTCCATTTTTACAACTCCCGATCACGATCATATCGGTATCGGTTGACGATAACAATCCTATAGTGACGGAGCGGTTATTAGACAGCAGGGCCTACTATTTAACTACGGAATACTTCTTAGGATTAACTACTAATAATACTATAATAATGCCTAGATCCTACCATAAGCTGTACAACTCTAGCTGCTCCACTAGACGCTACGTAGACTCGAGATCAGGGGAACACAGCAGACGGCATGTAGCGCGGTTGCAGTTCCAGTTCCAATCTGCCATACCCAGTAATGGGTATGATCGCGGAAACTACCGCGGGTGTCGCCAAATGCGGGACTTGCACGCATATACCCGCCAGAGCCGTATTGGCTCAGGCTGAATCACTACAATCCCTATAAAAGTAGTTCTAGAGTCTATACAATAACTTTACTTTAGAAGTGAATGTGATACTTCAATGACCGCAAACCACCTTGAACTAGTCTAGTCTAGATCTATACGGTATACGGTATATGGTCTACCCACTCCAGCAAAGCATAGAGAGTCAATGCCAATGCGTATTGACCTCTAGCACTGCATACATGCTGTGAGGCAGGGACCTAGAAGTCTATACACCACACAATATCGCATAGACTGTACACAATCGTGTCGATGCAGCTGTAAGCAAAGTTTGACACTAGACTTACAATTTTAATTTTTAAATTATTCTTTTTAACATCAGTAAGTTAATAAAAAGTTATTTTACTGCTATTTAGGTGTCATCAATTGTCACTAAAGTACCGATTTTGAGTGAAATCAGTTGAGTTTTGTACAGTGGTGTTTGAAATGTTGAGAATCAAAAGCACAGCTTTTACTACACAGCCAGGATAGTGATGCTCCTATGTGTGGGTCTACCCATGATTTGTTATTTGTTTGTGTTTTTTTTTTCTCCATTGATTAAGAATGAAACTATTGAATTTGGGGGTAACTGGAGAAATAAGATTTAGTCTAAAGGTCTAGATCTAGTGTACTGATATTATAATTAATGATAACAGTTTTAGTGATAACAATTCTCATCTAAACTTTACATCTACTTAGTAATTGTTTGAGGTGCAATGACTAAATTGTCGGATTAGGAGACTTCACCATGTATAATTTCAATGGTCTTTCTAGAAAGTGTCTACTAGTTTTGTTGCTACAAACTGAGAAGTGCAAGAATTATGTGTACCATATCATGTCGTTATCTCTCTAGAATCAAATGTAGTCGAGGAAATCGTGGAGGAGGCGTTTCATGTGGAGGAAGAAGATGATGTGCTTGTACTGACTACCGACAATTTTGATGATGTCGTCAACGGCGAGGACATCATTCTCGTGGAATTCTACGCTCCTTGGTAAAATATAACTGTTTTTTAAACATTGCTGGTACTGGTAGAATGAATGTAATCATTGTAGTAAAATAATACAATGATGGCTTTACAATTTTACATGAATCTACATGTAGGGTCTCAACTCTTGACACAATTAAGTTTCCAAACCCAACTCAGATAATGTTTAAAAATTTGCTCAAAGGAAAATTCAGGATTTCTACTCCCTCAGTCAGTCAGTCATTTTGCTTTGCAGGTTTTGAAGATGAATCAGAAGAAGTCTCCATTAGAGGCAGGGTATTTTAAAGACATTGAATTCCACAGCGGTAATGTATTTTCGATTGTGCCATCTATCGGTCAACAAGCGTACATTGAGGGACATTGGTTGATAATGCAATGTGGGACATGACCGTCAACACATCGAAACATATTGAGCAGCAGATTGCAGTAATACATAAATCTGCGGTAGTGTCAGAAGAAAAAACAATGCCCTTAAAGCAGGACTGCACTACTTGTACCAACATGTACTTACGCCCTGTATACAGCCAACAATGCCTAAACGGTACACGTTAATCCCCCATGGTCCCCTTTTTCTTATGTTACTTGAGAGCTGATTTGATGAGATAACCACCTGCCAGTGACCGTACAGAGAGGTCTAATCCCTCCTGGTCAAACTAATGCAGATAGGCTTTAAACTGCTCCAATTCAAACCAAACAACTTGTTTGTCTTCCTCTAGGTGTGGTCACTGCAAGACGCTAGCCCCGGAGTATGCTGCCGCTGCCCTTGAGATGAAGTCTGCCACTCCACCTGTGTCCCTCGCCAAGGTGGACGCAACAGAGAATAAAGAGCTGGCCTCTCGCTTTGACGTCTCTGGTTACCCTACCTTGAAGATCTTCAGGAAAGGGAAACCTTTTGCCTATGATGGACCAAGAGAAAAGAATGGTAAGTCTTCTGAAATGTTCTGTTTTTGAGGTGTTTCTTCTTCTTCTTCTTTTTCTTCTTCTTTTTCACCTTCTCTCTTTCACCTTCTCTCTTTCCTTCTTCTTTTCTACTTCTTCTTCTCTTTCTCCTTCTCCTCATCCTCCCTCTTCGTGTTCATGATGTTTTGTAGCTAAGGGGCATCATCAGATGCAAATGGAATTCCTTGATGCCTCCTGTGAACCTTGTCAGCACACAATCATTTTGTGGGTGTTTCTTTTATCAAGTTTATCAAGTGGATAATAAACAAAGCTTGTCTTGGAAGTTTTTGTTTGTTTCTTTTTTTTCATTTTCTTGGCCTTGCTAATATCAAGAGTTATAAAAGGTTTTGAATCAATCACAACATTTGCATTGCATATCTCTGTTTCAATCAGGACAGTGGAATGTATTATTTGGCATCACCTGTGCCTGGGAGGGGAAAAGTGAACAGAATCACAGTAACCCTCGGGTCTTCCCTCTTAACTGATTGGGGATGTGCAGGTGGACCACCACCTAGGTTTCCTTCTACTTATATATGAATAGTGCTCCTCTGAATGGAGACTCCATTTAACATCCTATCAGAGGGGACATAGTGCTTTCCACTGTAACCTAGCCTGCTTCTATGAAACAGGGGAGGGGCACATTAACACGCAATGCAGGTTTAATTCATCTGTCTGTGTTGCATTCCAACCAACCATCTTTGGTTTGACAGGCAGACGCTTTACCCACTGAGCCAACTCGCCTTTGCGGCTACAATCTGCAAACAATGTACAGTGTTTGCAAAATGGGTTTCTTATGGACACATCCAATCTTCTCTCTTTCCTAGGTATTGTGCAGTTCATGAAGAAGGAATCTGATCCTAACTGGACACCGCCTCCAGAAGCTGTCCTTACGCTGACCAGTGAAAACTTTGATGACATTGTCAATGAAGCCGACCTCATCCTGGTCGAATTCTATGCACCATGGTAAGTTGCCTTTCCTTACCTTGCACTTGATCTTCCTGCGACGATCGCTCCATGTCAGTTTCCTATGCAGTATACTAACCAAATTCTTAGCTTCAACACTGGACCCAACACTAAATCTATTCTAAAACCCATTTGCAACCCTAATCCTATACCTCAGATGAAATAAAGCACAGAGCGATTGTTGCAGGAGTAAATCTCTGGTCGCCTACATTGACATTTGCTACATACTTTCCCAAATAAGGCGTTATTCGTATAAAGCATTCGACTGCCGTAAAAAGAAAAACACATGAAATTGAAGATGTTCATTCTTGCATTTTGTTCTGATGATTGCGAGATGAAGAAATTCTGTATACTTTCATTTATATGCGTTCTTTGATTTTGTAGTACAGATTAATTTCTTATTACTTATCTCTTGCATTAAGTGCAGTCAATATCTGACTTGCACTCATTAAAGAATAACACGAGCGGATAGCGGCTACTTCAGGCATGAAAAGACCACCTTAAAAATGGTGCATCTGCAAGTGGACCTAATAAATTTTGACGCTGGGATAAGTGCATTTTTCCATCTTGCCGTTTCTCTTTCTCATGATATAGGTGTGGCCACTGCAAGAAAATGGCCCCGGAATTGGAAACGGCTGCTACGGCCCTCAAGAGCAACGACCCGCCCGTCCTCATTGCCAAGGTAGATGCTACTGCTGAAAGTGACCTGGGCACCAGGTACGACGTGAGTGGATATCCTACACTCAAGATCTTCAGGAAGGGCAAAGAATCGGAATACAAAGGACCCAGAGAATCAAGAGGTATATGAAAATTCAAATCTTTTTCATAGGTATTTGCTCTTGCATGTCACAGTTTTTTTACCACCTATCTTATTTTGTAACAGTTGGCTTTAAGTTTGTAACCAAAAGTCTGGTGGTAGTGGTATACAGCAAATTTAAGATTCATTGTGTGTGTCTGTAAACTTGTCAAGACAATCACCAGTGTACACAATATATTAGCATTGCATACTTAATTAAGTACTGTAGTAAACCCTGTCACTTTTCATAACATAGGAATTATGGGCATGTGAAGAAACAAGTTGGTATGACCATATAACTGATATAAGCATTACACGTCGTCTGTTTAGAGCCAGAAATGTGTTAACTCATTACTTAACACCCCCCCCCCCACCCCTTTCGGCTTCAAACAGATCATATTTAACGCCTGCTCAAAGAAACCCTGTCAACTTTTATCGCTAATCAGTTATCATCAAGTACATGAAGAAACAGGTTGTTGATAGTTGCCAACTTCTCGGATTTGCAAGAGCTTCTAGAGAGTTCCTTGCATATCATGATCATAAAGATTAGACAGTCAAACCTGCTTTAGTGATCCCCTGTCTACAAAGACCACATTTATTGTTTCCCTTGAAAATGGTTTCTCATCGAAACATGTACTAAAGGAACCTGTCTACAAAGACCACATTTATTGTTTCCCTTGAAAATGGTTTCTCATCGAAACATGTACTAAAGGAACCTGTCTACAAAGAACTCTTTATGTGTTTCCCTTGGGCAGTCGCTATAGACTGGCTTGACTGTATCAGTATTTCAAGTAGGTAACCCTATCGTTTTTGTCAAGTAACGCCTGGCTGGAATTTTCCTCAGGGAGTGGATATTGTGTACATAGTGTGTGCGGGCAAGTATTGAATCCTATGACTGGGGTAATAATATATCTGTAAAGCGCTCAGAGACATTTGTATTTAACGCTATATAAAAGCGGAATATTATTATTATTTTATTTTTCTTTTGTTATCAGGTATCATTCAGTACATGCAGAAACAAGTTGGTGATAGTTCTCAGCTCCTTGGCTCTACCAAAGCTCTTCGAGAGTTCCTCGCCCACCAGGACGATGTCAGCATCGTAGGCTTCTTCAACAGTAACCAAGATCCTCTGTACACTACATATCTTGATGCAGGTAAGTCTAGTAAAGTATGTGGGGAGGACGTAGGACACATATACTCTAAAGGCATCGTTTAACAATGTTGAATCTGAGATGCACGGCCCTACATGTTATCAGTGTCTGTGATATGGTGCAATATTGAAGCCCTGAAAAAATTGCGCTTCAAAATGATCAAGAAGTGCCTCAAAAAAGAGTGACCGGTTATACCATATTAGTTTTCCCCATTAGACTGGAGTGGTATGAAAATGATTAGGAAAACGCAAAATTTGATTTTGATTTCCAATCATAAATATCTTGATAATCAGACAGAAGATTGGCTTGTAAAAGTCATGGGGTTCCTTGCTAAATCCAGGATTTACCTAATCCCTTTGATAGACCCGTTCGAAGATAGATCTTTTGTTCGCTCGCTTGAAAAGAATTCTTACGCCTGTGTATCACAGCATGTACTGTTGGTGCGTAAGTGAATAATGATTATGTAACTTTCATGAACACATATCAAATATTGATCTTGGTGGGTTTTACAATTTTGTTCAAATGACCTTTATCTGACCATGCACAGATAGTATCTCTAAAGTGGCCTTTTCAAACTGCTAACTTGACTTAATCTCTCACCGTTCTCTCCATCTTAGGCAACGGACTGAGGGATAACTACAGATTTGCTCATGTGTTTGATCAGGATTCCAGAGACAGCTACAAGATCAACGCTCCATCGGTCGTTGTCTTCTTACCGGAGCGATTCAGATCCAAGTATGAACCATGGAGACATGTCTTCACTCAGGTAAGGTTGAAAGAAAGAAGAAACTTATGTTCCCATCTTTATGGATTTACCTTGTTACCAGGGAAAAAATTACTTTAAAAATTTTGGGGGCTTCTTTTCAAGCTTGCTCGCATGAAAATAACACTCTTTAATTTGTTTTGCATTGAACTCTATGCAAAATTTGGGAGCTCTTTGGGGCATTTCAGGGGCTAATTCGCCCCGAGCCCCTGTGAATTTTTTCCCCTGCTTGTTACTAATTTACGCAAAGACTGCATCCTCAAGATGAAAGAAACCAGCAGTTTCTATCTCCAGTAAAGTAGTTTTTAGCTGCTTTTACTGTCAAAAAAATAATATTCAGTGGTTTTGTTCCTTGAAGGAAGGAAATAGCATTCTGCACCTTGTTTCTTCAGCAAAATAGCATTATGATTCAGTACTTTGTATGATCACAACAATGACAGTAGTATCAGCGCTTTTTATTTCACAATATAAGACATATTGCCATTATGCAATCTTTCTAGAAGTTATTATGCTTGATGGATGTACTTGAATTCTGTTTTGATGTTTTGTTACCATTACTTCTTGAATCTATTCGCATGTAACGTCAGCGGACGTGGAGAACCTCATGACAGAATGTAAATTCTTTTAGGTAATCCTCAGGCGTCCACTGGTGGCATTTTCACTGTCTTGTAACTCTTTCATATTATGCTCTGTGTTGTCATTTCTATTTTATTTATACATGTACCTGGAAATTAAGTAAATACAAAATAAATACAAAATTATTATTATTCAGGCCTGATAAAAACCCGATTTAAATCGGTTTCCTGATTTTTTTTGATTTTTCCCGATTTTTTTCCCGATTTTTTTTTTTCCTTCCCGATTTAAAAAAAAAATCCAAAAAAAAAAAATCCATTTTTTTTTTTTTTTTTTTTTACCAATTTTTTTTTTCTTCCCTATTTTATCCTGATTTTTCTGATTTCCCTCTTATTTTCTCTATTCTTCCCTATTTTGCCCTATTTTTTCCCTATTTTTTCCCTATTTTCTTACTTGAAAGGGGGGAATATTGTTAGATGCCATTTTTTTCCCCGCGAATCCTCTTCTTTTTTTTTACTCAAGGGGGGCGTGGTTGAGGGGAAAACAAAAAACCTATTTTTTTTTTAGTGCTCACTATCACCCCTGTTATTACTGTGCAGACTGAAGGTAGTGTCCAGGACCTGGAGAACTTCTACAAGGAGAACGATGTTCCTCTGGTAGGCCAGATGACAAAGGAAAACCGAGAAAGGCGTTACACAGACCGCCCTCAACTGGTGGCTTTCTTCTCAGTGGACTGGAGTTTCGATCACAGAGTTGGTAAGAAGAATGGACAAAGAAAGGCTGCATGATAATACTTGCCTGTCAGTTTTTTAATCATGATCATATCTTAGCTGTTTCAGTTCATGAACTGGGCTTGGATCGTTACGGTCGGATCCATTAGTCTGAACTAATGACTGATTTCTGTATGTGGGACAACGGTACAGATTTTGTATTAACTTTGTACATACCTTATCATTGGCTTGTGCCGATCACAAAGATTGCAAGAATTTCCTTTTGTTTAATTATATTACATGAAATATAATGCACACTTCATTTTCCAAAAAAATATATCTGTGCTCTTCCATTTTAGACAACTTATTCATGGATCCATGATTTTAAAAGTCCATTTTTGTTTTAAAAATGTGCAGTCACGTTTCCAACCGTGATCACAATACAGACTTTTAGATTTGCATGACGAGAACGTGGACTGCGACGTGTGGCATCCTTTTAAGGCAATGTGTCGTCCTTTTAAGGCACTGGCAGTGGCGTCACATTACCTTAAAAGGATGTCACAGGAGCAGTCCATGTTCTCGTCGTGCAAATCTAAAAGTCCCTATTGGCAAAGGTAAACAGGACCTCTTGTGACCGGCAGATCAGAGATGAAACTTTTGCATTATTTCTCTCCCTCTCCCGTTCCTCAGCCACCGAGATCTATCGTCAGAAGATCGTGGAGGTAGCCAAGGACAAGGAATTTGACGAGCTTCACTTCGCCATCGCCGACGAGGAGGAGTTCGCGGCCGAGATGAAACAGCTGGAGCTCGACGACAGCGGCGAAGACATCAACGTTGGAATCTTCACTGCCGATGGACTGAGGTTCAAGCTGGAGCCTGAGGATGACTTTGAATCCGATGTCCTTCGCGAGTTCATCAGAACATGGCAGAATGGTACGTAGGACTGCTTCTCATCCATTTGGAGCCAGAAGGTCGCTAACTCGTACTGTAAGACAGAGTTAACACGCTTCTGCCTCTGAACAGACAGTATGGCAATGAAACATGTTTTAAGAGCCACCTATATAGAAAAACCAACTGTCTTTAGTGACCACATCTTCTGTTCCCTTGAAAAGTGTTTGTCGTTGAAACATGTAAAAAAGGAACCTGTCTATAAAGACCATATAATTTCATATTCAAGTTTCACCATATCTCAAACAAAATCTAGTATATCAATATGTATATGTGCATCCAAACGCATTCAATTGAATTGCAGGTAGATGATATATCTAGCCTTGACACAGTATTTACACTTTGTGGAATGCCTTGTTTGTTTTGCTTACTACTCTGCAATTTTGATTCTCATAGAACCTAACAAAAAGTACCAAATTTGATATGTCTAAATAAGTAGCTAATTTCTATTTTTTTATGAAAATGACTATTTGGTGATAAATTCTGAAAGATGTTATAATCTTTATTTTTGTTACCTCAACTCTAAATTACATTTTATTTTGTTGTTGCCAATTTGTTGCAGGTGATTTAAAGCCAGTGATCAAGTCCCAGCCCATCCCAAAGAAATCCAAAGCAGCTGTCAAGACCATCGTCGGAAAAACATTTGAGAAAATTGTCCTGGATAAGTCCAAGGACGTCCTCATCGAGTTTTATGCACCGTGGTGCGGACATTGTAAAAAGTTAGATCCAGTCTACAAGAAATTAGGCAAGAAATTTGCAAACACCAAGAACCTCGTCATTGCCAAAATGGACGCTACTGCTAACGACGTCTCAAACGGCGCTTACACAACCACAGGATTCCCGACAATCTATTTCTCCAAAGCAGGGGATAAGGACAACCCTATCAAGTTCGAAGGCGGAGAAAGGTCGCTAGAAAAATTGAGTGAATTTATCGAGGAGCATGCAACGGTCGCAGTGTTGCAGGACAGAGACGAGTTATAGTGTGCCTTATGTTTTGTTTTTTAGTTTGTAATATTCATGTCTGAATAAATCTTTTCCGTGGTGATTGACTTTTTCTATCCTTCAACTTGATGAAATCAGTTTTTAGATTATTTATTCTTTTCCAGTGGTTTTTTTGTACAATAATGGGTACTTAATGGAGATATGCATCAGTACAACAATTTTATATGGTCAACAAAAGTTCCCCCAAAGAAATAGTGATAACTTCTCTAGAAGAATTTCCATCTTCATAGTATATCTTATTATATGTGTGTACTACTTTACATTTTCACCTTATATAAGAGTATATCTTTATAATAATAATAATAATTAACCGTTCTTGTATAGCACATAACACATAGTATTAAAACATGTCCCTAAGCGCTCTACAGAAAAACACAACAAAATACAAAGACAAGATGTACTGGGTAACAGACAAAATGGATGAATTCAACGTTAAATAAGTGCGTCTTTAAAGCGATCTTAAACTTAACAATGGAGTCAATATTTTTTAAATGTTCCGGGAGATTGTTCCACTCAAGATTACCATTCAACTTATTTTTGAAGAAAAATAATAACTTCATCTGAAATATTAATAATATCACGTTTATATTCTTCCCATCTATTCATACTCACCGTCAACATAATATGAAATGGTTGGAATGTACATTTTTAGTGTGAAATAACAATTTTCAGGAATACAATAGTACATGTGATAGCAATATTATTTCAGTATGCAACATAGAAATGAGTCACAAGTTCAATTTACGAATTAACCATTAATCCAGAATGCAGCGAAATAATTTCCCTAAGTTTTTAAAACATTCTTGTATTCTTGTAAAGTTTGGAGACATTAAAGGAAATTAATGCCAGTATTAGAAGGAGACTTATTTGTACATGTACGTTGTTACAATATGTAGACTTTTCCCTTTTACTTTCAAGTAGGAATCATGATTATTTTTGAGAAGTTTGAAATGTTACATAATGATTGTCATTGCATTTGATGCATAAGTTGTACAAATTTGGTTAGTAATTGTCAGAATCCACCAAAAAGCTGCATACCATAATAATACCTCCTAACCTGCCCAGATCCTGGCAAGTTAAGTTGAAACGTAAAAAATTAATCCAGAGTTCTGGTTGTTGCCTGAATTATCATGCTGCAGAATCGGGCTAAATTATTTATGACTAGAAATATGTCTGTTTGATCATTTGATGGTTTTAGTGGAACAAGATATAAGAACTGAGCTGATGTGTCGACACATTGAAAATAATCTTGAGTTTTGGTATTTGTTCAAGGCTTTGCAATGATTTTAAGTGGAAAATGTGTGTAAGAGCTGAGCAATACCTAAGCAAAGAACTGGAAGAAACTGATACACAACTGAGGAGTCATGGTCCCATACATTCTTCAGTGTGTCATGCTTTAAGTGAATGATATTTCCAGCAACTTTTCATTCATATTTGTACATTTTTCAGGTCAAATAACCCCAGTCTTCTAGGTAACAATTTACCGGTTCAAGCCATTTATGTCAAAGTGTACTTTTGTTTCAAAAATCAAGATGATGTCAGAAACTCTGTCCCATTCTTGTACAGCTGTTCATGGTATGAATGTGATTTGGAATTGCATATTTTTCTTTTAAAGAACGTCTTGTGCTAAAATAGCACACATTCCAATTTTTTAGTTACATCTCCTGCCAATTGTTTGAATATAACATTGGATGTTATATTAAAAGTATAAATGTGTTTCTTGTAATATTCCTAATTAACACCAACTCTAAATATGTGGTTTCATTTGTACTTGTATAAAGCAATAATTTGCGCAAATGGTGTGCAAAGAAAGGGTAATAAAGTATATTTGATTGGTTGATTGAATAAAGAATTTTTGCCTGTGCTTCTTTTTGTTACAATTACACTAGACAGGTAGCCGTTTCATGAAAGTTGTTTGTACATTTTTCTGCAACATTGAAAATTTCCTATAGAAATGAGAGATGTGTTTCATGACATTTAACAGAATCCTGATTCTTTTTGGATGATTATGTGCAATGTGTCTTAGTGATACCTGAAAGAACTAGAATGGTCATACAGAGCTGCCAACCATTACGTTTTTTCCTCCAAATTACGGTAGTACGTTATTATTTTTTTTTCTTCATAAAACAACTGCCTTAAAATGTTGATTTGATCACAAATTTGATAGAAAACCAAGGTTAAAACATACTTGACGAGAAAAATGTTCTCAAAAAGAATGAAATGCTGATATACCAAAATAACAACAAAAGAATACCTACTTGTAAATAAACTATAGGTCCTAATATGGAAAAAAAAAACAGCATGTGGAATGGACATTTCTACATGGGAAGTGTGTCGTGCGTGGTTGTAAGTTTCGTTTAAATGAATTCCTTTTTTTGGCTTGAAAGTCCTTTTTCCTTTTTTTGATCGCACAAGGTTGGCAGCTCTGGTCGTATCAAATGTTTTTTTTATGAAATAAACGGATAAATGTCATGGAACACATTGCTCAGATCATCCTTTTCAAGATAAACAGTTGGACACAACACAGATAAATTATTGCACACGTCACATAATAATCAATATTTCTTGAAATGCTTTCTTTATTAAATGCTAACCAGTAAAAATATAGTTTACAGTCGTCACCATGTCCTAGCCCCCAAACAAGCAGTAGATTTGTATTAAAGCATGTTAAAATTTTTACTACTAATCCATACATGATGTATTGCTTATCTGGCATTTGTTTACATACAAGATGTCTGCGTATAAAATGGCATAACAATAGCGGCAAATAATGTATAAAATAAATATTTTACAATGATAATAATAATAATAGGCATTTCTATAGCGCCATCTATCTAGATAATTCTATTCCGAGGCACATTTATTATTACCCTGGCTTTAGCCTAGCAGCCGTTTATACAGCGCTCCAGCATTTCAAGGAATTAATTCCTGCCAGGTACCCATTTACATCACCTGGGTTGAGTGTGGCAAATGTAGATCAATGTCTTGCCTTGCGATCGACAGTCGACACCTCCGTACAATATACAACATGCTCCGAGCTGGGAAACAGAATCTACTAAAGTATACTTCTTTGATCGTGCATATTCATTACGATTGCATACTATTTCGAAAAATATAATACAGGGAAAAATTTTAGGCTGCAAAAGTAGGGAAAGGTGGTATAATAATGACTAACAGACAAGTTTGGAAAAGTAGCAATATTTATATAATCCATCCGAAGTTCTTTTGTAACAACAATATATTCAGGGATGCCAGTTTTCAAGCAATAGCCTGAATTCAGGCCCTGGCAAGTTATTTTCAGACCATAGTTTAGGCTTTTTTGTGTACAACATAGCTCATTCTAGGTGATTTTCAGGCCCTCTGATCAATTCTAACTGGCATCCCTGTACATTACATTCTAACACTTTGTACAAATACATGTAACTTTATGCATGGAATATTACTTTAAAACACTTCGTACAAATACATCATTTAAACACTTCGTACAAATACATCATTTAAACACTTCGTACAAATACATGTAACTTTATGCATGAAAGACAAAAATTTGTAAAAAAGACAAAACATTGTTGAGACAAGTGAAGACATTAGCCGGTATTCTACTAAATTTACACCAGATGCCAAGTTCAAGCTTGGCCATTTATGTCTTTTTAACAGGAATTTAAATAGACATTACTATTTTCAATTCATTGAAAGTAAAGTTTCTCCTCTGTGAAAGTAAATTAGACCTATCACTACGGGGTTAAAGAAGTACAGTAGTAGAAAACAGACAAATGTGTTTGGAATACAGTTATTTGAAGCAAAAAGATATCTTACATAAATAGATACAAAAATTGTTTATGTGATACTTGCTCTTGCGACAATAATTGCTTGGTGTCAATTCCCTATCCTGACAAAATTCTTAAAGGGCAATCTACCCCTTGTAATAAGTTGATTTGTATGAAAGCTAAAAAATTACAGGAACAGAATGGCAAAAGTTTGAAATCAATCGGGCCAATAATAAGAAAGTAATGAATGTTTGAAATATGAGATCATCAAGCCTATGAAAATCTTAAATTGGTAGTTCGGTCAGTGGATTAATAATTATTGTGACGTAGGACGTGGCTTACTCTCCCTTTTGCCTTGTACAACATATCATCATTTTCTGCTTTCTCGCAAGTTTCTTCTCCCTTATGGCATTCTCAAAATATATTATTGATAGCATGTTATTGTAGGTCCTCTAAAAAGAATGACCCTCCTGATCAATGAACTTTTGAAAACTTAAAATTTTAGTCATTTTATATGTTGGAACGTTGGCACAGAAGGGAAAGTAGTCCGGCACTATGCATCACATTGACATTGAAGTGCCCGTACGTAGGCCCCTATTATAATAGTGATTACAACTTTCACAAATTCATAACTTTCTTATATTTAGTCAGATTTAATTGAAACTTTCATCAGTTTGCTTCTCTGGTTTTTCTGCTTTCTTTTAGAGTAGTTGTCTATTTGGGTTGGATTTCCCTTTAACCTAAGTCTATCCCTAAACCTAACTTAAAACCCAAGTGCAACTGTAACCCTAACCCAATGTCTCTCTATATGCAATTGACGCCCTGAGCACGGAGTAAAAGGTCATCCCCCTCACAAAAAAAGAAAGAAATCAGATCTACCGAAAAAACTGACATGTATGCCTGGATGCTTCTCACAAATCGTGAGTATCAAAGGCATTGTTCGACATGTCCTTCGGGGACCTGGTTCCTCTCTTCACCCGTACCAACTTTTCCCCGTCGTTAGCTCTTGGAGATGGACTTGGAGAGTTCCTTGGTAGGTCGCCCATCGGCGTAACGTCGCGCCTGGCCGGTGATGGTTCTCGCGTATCTTCCTTAGGTTGTATGACAAGAATTGGCGGCCCGCCATCCAGGCTACTTAGCGCTGAAGGCGCTCTTCTCAGTGGTTCCTGCGAAGTTGCGTTCAGGCTAAGGGACGTGTGCATTTGCAAATTGGTGCGGGAAAGAACGGGAGAACCAGACTTGCTTTCGCGGGATGGGTCGGGATCTGCGTTGTGGAGCTGCTGCTTGGGCTCTTTGTAGGGCAGAGTGCTCTCTGTCACACTGCCGCCTTGCAGTTCTTTCCTCAGTGGCGGGTCGTGAAGCCGGACGTAGTTGCGAAGATAAGAACGAACCGCTCCTTCTCCTTGCTACGATTTAAAAACAAAACAAAAAGACATATTATATTTTATGTTGAGAGTATATGAAAAAATGCAAACATCCACACAGATAGGCATTTTATTTGTTTTTAAAGAAGCCCATGCATATTATATACGTTTAAGAAAATTTGGAATGCCTTATACTAGAGGATTATGTTATATTGTAATTCTAAGCAAGAGTATCATCTTCCATTTGTAATTTCATTATAGACCGTGTTTACTATTAAAGTCAACGTATAGCGGCTGACTCGACACAAATTGGACAGCGATCTTATACTATTCAATTAAAAATCTTTTAACCTAATAATACCAAGTAGATATTCACGAAATCGCATTTCTTCTTTGGTTTTAAAATATGACAATCAAGAAGCAACCTATTTTAGAGCTTCTAGAGATCTGAATTACAAATGGTTCCGATCTTTTTCAAATCGAGCATCTTAATATTGAGGGCATACACCTAGCTGAAACAAAATAATTACTTAGTACAGAGTAATTAGGATGAAAAGCAGTAATACCTCAAACAAGAATTTGATGTCGCCCTCTTCAAGTTCGAAGTCAGTTGTATCAACGTAGACTGTATCGATTCCAATCGTTCGGCTGATATCGTCATCCTGCATAAATCAATAATTGATACGAACATTATTAAATCAGTAGCCGTTTTATACAATTGTAGTCTTTATGAAAATTATCTTATCCTAAAAGAAGTAGGTCGGGAGTCTCTTTGTGCAATGCGTCAAAGTTCACTTAGACTGGACTTTTGAGATTTCCCATTTAATGTGTACGAATATCATGCAGGTGTTGCATGGAACACCATTCCATTCGGAATTTCCCGGAGCATGGCCTACAGGAGATCGGAGAGCGTTCGCTTTGGTTCGGAAACGGAAATTTTATTTTGATAAAGTTTGGGTGAATATTTTGGAGTTGATTGAAAAAGGGAAGAGGAAACCCCACTAGTTATGTCAATACGTTGAATTACCACTTTAAGATACGCAACATCAGCAGAAGGAAGAACACCGATACGCAACATCAGACTGACAGCCAACCTTCAATAGATGGATGAATGGATGGATGGATCGCTTCCAAAGAGGATTAGGAATTAATTAAGACGAGGGAATTTTCTCCCTCGAATTCGGAGCTCATCTCTTTTCAGAAACTACTTTACAAGCTGGTCCAGATTCTGTCCGTTTTTTTATATTTTTATATTCTTCAATCATCTTTTTCTCCTCCCTAACACGCACCCCACACAGCGCGGTGTCTCCCTCCGACCAAAATGATGATCACGCGACACCCGAAAAAGCACCCGTCAAGAATAAAAGAAAACGACTGTCTCCGTTTTAGCGTTGATGGCGTTGGCGTGTTATTTTCTTAAAGGGGTATAGCATGGCAAATACTGGTTAACGCTATCTAAGAATTCTTTTGGACAACTGTGCATAAACGAATGGACTTGATTAACGGTCAGCGCGCGCTATCGTTCGCGAAACAGACCGAAGCATAGAGATCTATATGGACCGACGTTCTTCTCACGCTCCGGCTTCGCGTATGTTGCACGCAAATGAACATATCGTATTATACCCGATTGGCCCCGAGTCAGGCCATGGGTAAGATACGTGATGAGTCTCGTCATGCTACACCTTCTTTAACTGATTGCGCGTGCGAAACGAAAATATTCCAGGCAGTGGACTACTTTACAGCTTGACAAACTTACGGTGGTGAAGATTCTTTTGACATTGACGAGCAGGGTGTCAGTGAGAGCACCGAGGAACTGGCTAAACGATTTGATTTCTCTCCTCCCGTATCCCTCGAAATTGGTTTGGATTGCCACGCCCCGTTTCTCGGCGAAAGCTTGTAACTCCTCATATGTTATCTGTTGAGAAAACGAAAAGATTGCACAGTACTGATGAACTAGACCGTAAATCATTAAATATTTTCCTCACTTATCTAAACTGACCTCTAACGCGCTAATCGTCATTTCTGGATATTGTTTCAAATACAGTAATGTAACTGAGAAAAAAAAACGAAGAGGGGAAAGATAAAAACTTTTATACGAACTAAAGCAGCTATTTTCTATGGTAATTACCTTCACTAAAATGGCATGGATGATACAATGAAAAGAATAATATAGGCACTTTACTTGAATGAACAATACATTTTACACTATCATGGTTTTTCAAGCATATCTGGAATATCCTGAATAAAGGAGACCCGGCGAAAGCACCCTTTCCGCTTGAAGACCTAGCTAGCTATTGGAAAAAATATCTACACAACTATTAAAACTTGTTCAGAATTTATACTACAACGGCGGAGGCGAAGCAAAATTCGACCCACCTCATCGTCACCCTCGTGATTCAAGCAGTCGAAAATATCATTGACTTTGTAGTTATCACCGAAAAGAGTTCGACACTGCCCCTCCGTAAAGTAATCCACCTCCTTGTCGAATGCCTGCACGAGTTCTTTCCTCGTGATCGTCCCGCTCTCGTCAACGTCGCTTTCGGCAAGGAGACGAAGAAAGCCCGACAAAGCGGAGGTGATGATGGCGTGCTCGCGCACGGCATGGTCCTTGACTTCTTTGACTGCTTTCCTTTCTCTGTTCGAGAAAAAACAAAACATGAAAAATATTTTTTTTAAAGGGGCATGTTCCCCGTATTCCAGAGGGCGTTCAAAATACGTACGCGCTGGCGGACGGTGCTATAGCTGCCTATTGACACCAACAGAATACGGCTCATACGCAGATGGCATGTTCCGATAACTACACTGGCGGGAACGTGCCCCTTTAAAGAAAAAAAAAGGCGAATCAAAGAACGATATTGAAAGGAACTTGACCACGGAGAAAACGAATGAGAATAGTGGTGTATGATAAAGGGGTGTCTCCGATAACAATTTATGTCAGCAAAATATGACGGCAAAATTAGAATTAGAAAAATGTCAATATTTGGGATACAGCCACCTCATATTGGGCGAAATGGTCTCTTTGTCAGTTTAATGTCTTTATAAGGTAAATACAACGAAATCTCACTATGATAAGGTGTCAAATTTGAATTGCTCCCTCGTAATATTTGGAAATATCTGCAGATCATTCGACTCCCACGAACCATCGATCATTTGTAATTTTGTATGAATCTACCTTTCCTGTTTGTATGAATATATTTCATGTATCCATATACCAAGTATATACAGCAGACTATCCGTCGCTAAATGGACAATAAAGATGAAAATTATCATGCTTATGAACCTTTTTTTCTGCGGATTGACGATACATTTTTGTTAATTCTCCATTATACGTCCTGCACTCATTATTATGGATAATACAACAAATATTCTTACTTGGAAAGTTTCGTGTCAGGTCGAACGACATTATGCACTTTTCGCTTCTGGAGCTTTGATACCATGACGTCTTGTTCATCGCTGCTGTACTAAAATGGACAAATAAACACAAAATTAGAGAAGAAAAAAAATTGCACCTATCCATTGTTATCATATATAAATAACTTGTTATGTTCGTTGGAAAGCGGGGTTTCTAACTCATCAACTTTGTCTGTATGTCCGATCCGGAATATAAAAACTCGAATATTCTACCAGCGTCTTTACGCAAAATAATACATTTTAGTTTGCATATCTATAATGTACCTGTCGGTAAAGAAACAAATACAAACAACATAAGTGCTTCCGATATCTTCAAAGTTTGATTTAATAGTAAAAAAAAACAATATACAGTCAAATCTGTCTATAGCGACCGCCCAAGGGAAGCACAAAAGTGGTCTTTGTAGACAGGTTCCTTTTATTAGTACATGTTTCAATGGAAAACCATTTTCAAGGGAAACAAAAAATGTGGTCTTTACAGGCAGGTGGTCTTTGTAGACAGGTGGTCACTAAAGTAGGTTTGACTGTATCGCATTCATGAATAGGTCAAGCCTACCATTTCATAAACAATTTCATGAGACAAGAATGAGAAGTACGATTTTGTTTAAAATAAAAAGAAACTGGATACGTACGAGGACGAGTCCAATAGTCTTCGGGTTAACGGTTCCAAAGCGTTCCTTTTTGTCCCATAGCTTGCCGATGTCTTCAAGTGGTTGCAACCTTCTCAACATGCTGTCTCCTGGTTTCATAGAAAGCCACCAACCTAGGAATAAGAAATACAATTGTCACACGACTAATGTCGAGTACCAACAGGTAGCACTTTTTTCTCTCTTCGTAGTTAAACACTGCTTAGAGAAAGATTAAAAATAAACGAAATCGTTTAGATTGTGTATGAAATGTTAAACTGCTTTGAAAAAGGTATTAGAAAGTTTTAAGCAAAGATAGCATCGTATTTAAAGATGATTTTTTTTTTGTTGTATTTCTTCTTTTTCAGTGCGTCCCTTTAAGGTACCGGAGGAGGATGCGACGATATTTAACAATATTCCTTTATAGTTTATACGTAAGGGGCATGTTTTAATGATTTACTTCATTAATTCGATCAACGATCTTGTCGGCAAAATCGATGATACATGTGAAACCTTTACCTCCTTTTTGGGCATCTCAATCTGACAATTGTAATTCTATATATTTAAATGTAGAATATTATCTATCAATGATCTTTCAGAAGTTTGTGTTAAAAACTATCAACAGTCTTTCGTGTAAGAAATCCACCGGGCATGGAGACTTTATCTGTGAAACTTGTTAAACCTTTAGTTAAAGTTCCTATTGTTTTGACCAAGCTTGTACGCATCATGAATTTATCAATCAATGACAAAAATTATACCTCTCACTGGAAAATTGCCAGGATTCAACCTATTCCGAAATCAGGAGATAAACAATGTGTGCAAAACTATAGACCGATAGTTATTAGGGACTTTTAGATTTGCGTGGACTGATACGTGTGACGTCCATTCAAGGCAGTGCATTAAAAGGACGTCGATCGTAGCAATCCACGTTGTCGTTGTGCAAATCTGAAAGTCCCTATTCTCTCTGTAATCTCGAAAATCATTGAGAAAGCCGTCACCTCAAACTTTCTCAAATACCTTCTCGAGCCCGAAATAGTGTCTCCAAATCAGGGCTAACCAGTCATGCGAGACAGCACTGCTCTGCATGGTTGATGAAAGGTCTAAGCAGGTAGACAAAGGGAGACTGAATGGCATTGCTTTCATCGATTTACGTCAGGCTTTCGACGCAATCGACCATTAAAGGCCGTCTGTACTAGTTTGACCAGGGGGATTAGGCCACACAGCAAGGTCACTAACAGGTGACTATCTCATCAAATCAGCTCTCAATTAACATAAGAAAAAGAGGATCATGGGGGACCAACAGGCACCGATAAGGCATTGTTTTCTATATAGAGGGAACATGTAGCTACAAGTAGTGCAGTACGTGGGGCTTTAAATCTTACTCGAAAAACTTAAAGTATATGGCTGTTCTCCACTCTGTATAAAATGGTTCGCTTCGTACTTAGGAAATCGCAAACAGTTTGTTTCTATCGGAAATGAAAAATCGCCCATGAATGATATCGATATAGGTGTCCCACAAGGTTTAATCCTTTCGCCGCTCTTGTTCTCATTATTTACCAATGACCTACCGAGTCATGTACCCTTCATAATGTATGCAGACGATACCACAGTCTATAGGTATCTGGTAAAAACAAACGAAGAAGTTGAAACCAACCTAACCCAGGCAATAAACGAAACCTATTTGTGGATAAGAAATAATAGATTGATCTTGAACTTTAATAAAACAAAGGTAATGTTATTAGGATCGAAACCAAAATTAAGCACTATAAAACAACAAGTAGGTCTATCGATTAGTATACAAGGTCGTGCTCTAGAATGCGCAGATGTGTCTAGGTGTCTAGGTGTAATAATTGACAACTGCCTCGATATTAAGAGACATACCGAATATATATCAAATTTGATAAAGAGGAAGTTGGGAATCATCCGTAGAAATAAGCATTTCTTTGATGAGTCGCAACTTACTTAAATTATATTGGGGATGTATTATCCCGCCCATACTCTACTGCTCAAATGTATGGTGTGGCAGATCAGAAGACAACTATGACACCCTAAATAGACTCCACAAAAGGGCAGCTTAAATGGTAACCAACCGTACATGGGAGACGCGTTCTGAAGCAGTCTTCCGTGAATTAAACTGGCCCCAACTAAACCAAATCCTTCTAAGGGCTTCCTGTCTTATGATTTTTATTTGTGTAAATAAATTACCTCCCGCCATCCTGTATGAGAGACTTTTCTTCGTGGACGATGTATCTACAAGGACCACACGTAACTCGGGCAAGTTACCTTTGAGACCACCAAAATGTCGCAGGGATTTTTTCTGTATGTAGGTTCAATCAATTGGAACCAACTACCGCGGATCCAGAGGAGGGGGGGGGGGGGGCGAGCGGGCATTGCCCCCCCCGGGAAAAAAAAGGTTTCAAAAAAAATTGTGACCAGAAATTTACCCTTATTTTGCTCAAGGGGGGGGGGGTGAGCAAAATATCGGCCGGCGCGAATTTTCGGGGGCTAAAAATAAAAATAAAAGTTAGTGCTCACTAGAGGGACCAGGGACTTACCGTCAAAGCAATGCAATGGATAGTTGCAGAGCACGCCCCCATCGACGTAATAGTCCGAACTTCCCCGTGTCTCACTCTTTACAGCACCGAACAAACCTGCAGGAGCATAATCAAATCAATTATAAAATTAACCACATCTACAGAACAAACGATTTCTTTATATCAAAATCAGTTTTTATGAAATAAAAAAGAATGGGGTGAAAATGGATGTCATATATCGCAATATACCCTACTGGCAGTATGGTTCAGATTTCCCCCAAAATTGTTTTCTAGGGTTATGTTTAGATACCAGAAGCGGATTCAGGCAATGTCAACAAATTACACAATTAATTAAGGGACATTCGTTTTAGAAAGGAGTACTAAAGTTATGACAGTTCATTTTCGGGGGGGGGGGTTGCGGCCCCTAAGATGTATTATTTTGTATATGGCATTGCCGTTTTCAATATCTTTCACTAACAATAAAGTATTAAGTCATGAGAATCAATCTATAACATTTTAAAAGGAAAGTTGTCACTTCCTTTAAAAAGCAAGCTAGAACTCACCTGGGATAGCTAGAGACATGCGCACTGCGGTCCGGATCGGCAGGTTGGGTGAAGTCTTCACGTGACAATACTCGGCATCCATGTGATTGAGATTGGTGACCACGATACAAAGCTCCTTGCCCGTTTGGTCGTACAGCTGCTTAAAGGTAATATCGGCATCACCAGTCTTTTCTTCCAGTCTGTCTCCGAACCACTCAAAGAGACGGCGTGCAGGATGCCAACCGAAATGCTTTAGCAGGTTTGGTAGTAGACTACAGGAGGCGCACGTCGCATCTAAAATGGTATTAACAAATTATTTAATCTTCATGTTCCAACTTGATTCAGACCCTCTATAAGAGTCCTAAACTACACCAGGGACTTGTCGCATCGAAAACGGCTACGAAATGGAAAGTTTTAAAAGGGATGTTAGTCTTTGGTGTACAAATCTGCTCAGACCCTCTAGTCATAAACTCTCTAAAAGAGTCCTGGGCACGTCGCATCGAGAACGGTTCAAAAAATGGAAATTTTTCGTCACGTTCTAACTCGGTTCAGACTTACTGAAATTTTCGATTTGACCAAGCCTACCGTAGTTTGCAGGCATAAACCATTGTCGTTTAGCAGGCCTAGCAAACTATTTCTTATGTATGATAATGATATGGGGAGAAGTCGCAGATAAACGAGCCATTGTCACATTGGTCACCATTGCAATGAACATCATCAACATATGACAACAATGTTATGTACGACCAATCGGGACATAAGGTACGACCTTGGGTAAAATAGTACATGGACCAATATGACACAGGACAATAAGACACAGGACAAAATAATGGGGCATACGACTTCTGGAATGTAGTATCAATGGGGTATTGTTTTAGGACCAATAGGATAATGACCCATGAGGCATAAGAAATACTTCTACAAAAAGGCATAAGGCAAATGGGATAATGACCAATGAGGCATATAGGAAATACATTGAATTAAAGGCAAATGGGATATATGACCCATAAGTCTTTATGAAATACATTGACTACAAGGCATAAGGCAAATGGGATATAATTATAACCCATTAGGCATATAGGATAGGAAATGCATTGAATAAAAGGCAAATGGCATATATGACCCATAAGGCATATAGGAAATACATTGACTACAAGGCATAAGGCAAATGGGATATAATTATGACCCATAAGGCATAGGAAATACATTGACAAAAAGGCATAATGCAAATGGGATATATGTCTTTAATCAAAGGTCGTCTACTGAATTGAAGAAGAGCTTATTATGTGATTAGGATAATCAACAGTCTGACATGTCAGCATACAATAAATATTTAGGCATGAAAGTTCATATTAATTCATAGAAAATTGTCGCATGACAGATTTGCTTTTTAGCGTGATACCTCGGTTACACCGTCCTACCATCTCGAATCCGACCGATAACCAACAAAATAAATAAATAGCATGTAATGTCTTCAGGGGCAACCCTTTAAGGCACAAAAAGCTTTGTCTAGCAGTTGATGAGTTCTTTTGTGAGAACTGTTGTTAATTTGTTTGTCTTTTTTTCCCTACAAACTTTCCAAACAGTAAAAATTCGGGAATGTTAAGTGAAAATATTTCCTCCCATATCGTACTAATGTAGGCATAGATTTGGCTCATTGCATTTCATGAGATGTCTAACAGCTTGTTACTCAATGTATAACAATGTCATAAGAAAAAATGTCATAAGAAGGAATGTCAACTCTGTACAACGAAAGAGATAGAATAGGTTCCTTTAGGGATCTTTAAAAATGGAAAGGGAAAGACAAATGTAATATGCATTATCAGAAATAGGAAAGATTGTAAGCTATTAAAGCAAACGAACTAATTAATAGCCAGGAACACGTGAGAGGCTTCCTCTACTGTGATTGGTCCGCGAGAGCTGAAGGGCGAAACTGTTTTTATTGTTTTCGTCACCGGCTTCTCGTGGTCACCAAAGCTTGACATGTTGGTTGGCTTAATGGTCTCTGTGACGGCAAGAGGGCGGGACGTGTTTGGAGACAGGTCTCGTCCCCAGCCAGTCTAGACACCAAGGAGGTCTTCAGTTAATAGAGATAAATGACATCTAGAATTTACAACATATGTACTTGTAAATGTGTTTCTCCTCCCTCCTCCCCTCCTTTTGATACTGAATATGAAATTGGAGAGGATCTGTTTCCTTTAATAGTAAATATCCATGTAATCTTACAATCTTAGCAGGAGGAACGCAAAGTCCTTAAGATAAAGGAAAAGCAAAAGATTAATAATATGTAGTATATCTTTTAGCTCTAATTCTGAAGAGAAGGGAGGAATGGAGAGAAATTATATTCTTATATATTAATTATGGGCATTGTTTTTTTGTTGTTGTTGGTTGTTTGTTTTTAATAAGAAAGAGAAGGGAGAGAGGTTCGGGCCAATGTATTTAGTCTACCTTGAGAAAGAATTGTATCACTATGAACATGACGGACAATGAAAGCGGACAAAATATACAGTTCCTCAGGTAGACAAAAGAACATCCCTTCACTGCTATTATGTAAAAAGGTGAATATGCATGTGACACCAGGCGCGGATCCAGGATTTCTTAGGGGGGGGGGGCCCACTTTTTTTTTTGGTCCGAAAAAAATTCGTAACGATTAGCCAGCCGCTAAATAAGCGGGGGGGGGGGGGGGGGGGGAAGAGGACACTTTTTTTTTTTTGGTCTCGAAATTTGAAAATTTGACATTTTGTTCCGTTGGGGGGGATGGGGGGGGGGGTGAGGTCACCTTTTTTAGGTAAGCCATTGGCATATTTTTTTTTAAATTAAAAATAAATAAATAAATAAAACTCACAGAAAAGGGGGGGGGGTGGGAGGTTGCTCCAAAATACACACATAAAAAACCGAAGGGGGGAGGGTCAACCCCCTAACCCCTTCCCCCCTCCCGTACGTGCCTACTCGTCTGAAAATAGTTTTTCCCCTCCCGCGCGAAGCGCGGAAGCTTTTACGTTTCATTAAATCATTAAAAAAAGAAGACGATTCGTTGTACAGTTTTTTACTCTTAATCCTCGTCTTAATTCATCCCCCTCTCCCGCGCAAAGCCCGGAAGCTTTTACGGTTCATTAAATCATTAGAGTAAGAAGACGATTCGTTGTACCGTTCTCGACTCTTAATCCTCATCTGAATTCAGTTTTCCCCTCCTCCCTCCCGCGCGAAGCGCGGAAGCTTGTACGTTTCATTAAATCATTAGAGAAAGAAGACGATTCGTTGTACCGTTCTCGAAAATAATCCTAGTCTGAATACAGCTTTTACGTTTCATTAAATCATTAGCGAAATAAGACGATTTGTCGTACCGTTCTCGACTCTTAATCCTTGTCTAAATCAATTCCCCCCCCCCCCCTTCCGCGCGAAGCGCGAAAGCTTCGACGATTCATTAAATTATTATAGAAAGAAGACGATTCGTTGTACCATTCCCGAAAATTATCCTCGTCTGAATTAAGTTCCCCCTGCCCTCCCCCGCGCGTAGCGCGGAAGCTTTGACGTTTCATTAATTCATTAGAGAAAGAAGACGATTCGTTGTACCGTTCCTCGACTCTTTATCCTTGTCTGAATTTCAAATATGTTCTTTGTCTATTTCCTTTTCTTCCTACGTCCTCTTCCTTTACACTCCTCTCTTTTTTTGGCCGGCGTTTATTGGGGGACCACCCCACCGCCCCCTGGCTACGCGCCTGCTGTCAGATGAACATTATGTTGATACCTTGTCCGCCCCGCAAGCTCAGGGGTTTAAGGTTTTAATTTACGGTCAGATTAGCATTCAGGGGTCCGCCTTAGCGCCCTAAACGGGGTCCAGGGGGCAGAGCCCCGGAAGTTCAGGAGTTTAGGCATTTAATTACGGTCAGATGAGCATTATTTTGATACCTAATTGTTACAATGGCAGGTCACTAATTGGCTTGGGGTTCAGGGGGCGGAGCCCCGGAATCTCAAGGGTTTTAGGCACTCAATTACGGTCAGATGAGTTTTGAGGGGCCCGCCTAAGGGCTCTTGGTTGGGTCCAGGGGGCAGAGCCCTCAGAAGCTCAGGGGTTTTAGGCGTTTAATTACGGTCAGATGAGCATTTTTGATACCTTATTATTTGTGACACTAGCAGGACACTATTTGGCGTGGGGTCCAGGGGGCAGAGCCCTCAGAAATCAGGGGTTTTAGGCATTAAATGACCGTCATATGAGCATCTAAGGGCCCGCCTTAGGTGGAATCCAGGGGGCAGAGCCCTTAGGATTTTAGGCATTAATTTGAATCATGGTCAGATGAGCATATTTTGACACCCCATTATAATGTGACACTGGCAGTTAACTATTTTTTCTTTCTCGCTCTCTTTCTTTCTATTTCTCTTTAATATACTTTTTCAAAGAAAGTGTGGGGGGAGGGGCTCGAGGATCCCGATCCCCGCCGTTCCGCGGGCCCTGATATGTAGGCATCTCAAGAAGCATTTTCTTGCCTGGCTGTAAATTTAGGAATTTGTCATTTTCCAACAAACGCATGAAGTGAGGAAAATTATCTCATTTCAGCATTATTTGTTAACCACCGTTATGGAATTATAAATAAACCACGTTTGAATACTATTTCTCCAACCCCCCCCCCCCCCCCCCTCCGATCTACACCTTGTTGGCGGGAAAATTGCAACTGATATCCCTTACCTTTCTTCATTCTCTTTTTTTTCCTTTCCCTTTCTCTCCTCTTTCACTTTCCCTTCCCTTCCTTATCTCTCTTTTAGGTTCGCTGGCGGGGGGGGGGGGGGGGAGGGGCACGGTCATTTTGGTCCCCAACCCGCTCCACACATTGTTGTCGGGATTAACCGCAACTGATCTCCGCTTCTTTTCTCCCTTTTTTTTTTTTTCCTCTTTTTGTTCCTTTTAGCTCTCCTCTTTTCCTTTTCCTTCCTTCTCTCTTTTTTTTAGCGGGGACGGGGGGGAGGGGGGGGGGAGGCTAGGGTCTTTTGCCCCCCCTCGATCCACAACTTGTTGGCGGGAAAATTGCAACTGATATCCGCCTTCTTTTCTTTTCTTCTTTCTATTTTGTCCTTCCCTTTATCTCCTCTTTATCTTTTTCTTTCCCTTTCCTTCCTTCTCTTTTATTTTTTTATTGGGGGGGGGGGGGGGGAAGGGGGGAGGCAAGTCCTTCCCCCGATCTCCTTCTTCCCTCTTTTCTTTTCTTCTTCCTCTTCTTTTTTCCCTTTCTCTCCTCTTTCCCTTCTTTTCCTTCTCTCTCTCTCTCTCCTTTTTTTTTTTTTTTTTTTTTTTGCGGGGGGGGGGGGGCAAGGCACGCTCGCCCCCCCCCCCTGGATCCGCGCCTGTGTGACACCTGTTCTACACATTTTTACATAATAGCAGTGAAGGGATGTTCCTTTTCTACCTGAGGAACTGTATATTTTGTCCGCTTTCTTTATCAGTCGTGTTCATAGTGTATGTTGTATAACCTGTCTAGAAAGGCCACCTGTCTACAGTGCCCATTTTCTCTGTTTCCCGGCCCTTTGATGGCCTTAATAGACAGGTTTGACTGTAACCAGTTCGGTCTATTATCTCTGTCGTGTCGGTCTCGTCGATATGACTGTACTCTTCTTCTTCTTCGAAGGAAAGTGCTGCTTCAAGGCCTTGAAGATTGTACACTGTGTGTGCATGTGAGGAGACTATATATGTGAGCCTGCTGGCCAGGATCCTTGTACAGTAAAACCTGTCTATAGCGACCACTCCAGGGAAACACAAAAATTGACCTTTGTAGACAGGTTCCTTTAGTACATGATTCAATGAGAAACCATTTTCAAGTGAAACAACAAATGTGGCCTTTGTAGACAGGTGGTCACTAAAGCAGGTTTGACTGTACATGTAAATACAGGATGCAAGTAAAAACTTACCAAGGAAATAGCCTTCGAGATTCATGCTAAGAAATTCCTTCAGTTCGCAAGAGTTGTAGCCAATCGCCATGAGGGTAGCTGTCATGGCCCCCGCGCTAGCCCCTCCTAGGCGTTTGACATTCCTCCATATGCCGACACGTTCGAGCTCCTATTAAGAATGGAAGAGAGAAACAGATAGGATCGAAACAGAATGAAATAATCAACTCAAGGGGAGTTTAATTACCCTATTGTATATCATGATAGAAATTATGCTCGGATGATGTAATACGTCTTTGTCATGTTTGCTGAATTAGATAGGCGACGCACATTTTTTAAAGGAGCCAATTGCTATCGTGTTAGATGACAGAAGTTCTCGAGATGATTATTGGCGGAGCTTCTGGGAGCACGGGGGCGGGTGCCCTAAATTGAATAGCAAAATAGAAAAGGAGTGAGAAAGAAATGGAGCGAGAGAAAGAGCGTGAAAATAAGATTATAAAACCCTTTTCCCACACTCTCTGTTAACAGTGTGGTCTTGTAAGCTCATATTTCATCCACCTAGTAAGAACGATCACCGCCCCTTCCAGGCTACTAGAGCCCCTTAAATGACTGGAACCATTAACCACCATGCGCTTACGCAGGGGGGGGGGGGTTGGGGTTAACCCCCCCCCCCCCCACCCTTGATTTTTTTTTTCATATGTATGTTTTATTTGGGAAAAAAAAAACCTTTTGATTTTTTTTTAAAAATTAAATTTAAAAAAAATTATGCCAAATTTCGAGACCCCCCCCCCCGCTTATTCAGCGGCTGGCTGAGTCGTTTCAATTTGTTTGGGACTCCAAAAAAAAAAAAAAAAGTTTCCTCTTACCCCCCCCCCCCCCCCCGGCTTATTTAGCGGTTGGCTGAGTCGTTGTGAAAATTTTGGCCCGATCTTAAACCCCCCCCCCCCTTGACAAAATCCGGCGTACGCCACTGTTAACCACTGATGATGTACACGCCAATATTATAGAGAGGAACTTTGGGTGGGGGTGGGGTGGGGGGGGGGGAGTTCAGAGTGCCCGAGAGCATATTTTCCCCAATGAACTGAGAATCTCGAATTGGCAAAAAGCAACCATGATTTATTCTGTGATAAAACAGTCTCGCCTCAGTTTTTACTTCTGTCTTGTGTCAATTATTGTATTATAATCTCCGTCGCAGAAGAGCAGGTAAGTGGGAGAGGCTACTTACTTCTGGATTTTGTGCGTGGAATAATGTAAAAGGTATCAATGATTTCTTATCCGTTTTAAATCGTGCAACAAATGTTTCCACAATGAAAAATTGAAGTAATGGACACTTTGATGAGCATGACATCTCTACAGGCGCGGATCCAGGATTTCTTAGGGGGGGGGGGGGGCCAAATTTGAAATTATGCGAGCCAAATATTGGTACGTAATGGTGACCAGCAGTGACGTAATGCAGGGGGGTGTAGGGAGGGGCGAGTTTCCCCCTCCCTCCTCTGCAAAGCGCGGAAGCTATATATGACGTTTCATTAAAGTATTAGAGAAAGAAGACAATTCGTTGTACCGTTCTCGACTCTTAATCCTTGTCTAAATTCAGCCCCCCCCCCTCCGCGCAGCGCGGAAGCTTTGACGTTTCATTAAACTATTAGTGAAAGAAGACGATTCGTTATAGCGTTCTCGAAAATTATCCTCTTTTGAATGCAATTTTCCCCTCCCGCGCGAAGCGCGGAAACTTTTACGTTTTATTAAATGATTGACGAAAGAAAACGATTCGTTGTACCGTTCTCGACTCTTAATCATTGTCTTAATTCAGCCCCCCTCCCCCTCTCGCGCGAAGCGCGGAAGCTTTCACGTTTCATTAAATCATTGGAGAAAGAAAACGATTCGTTGTATCGTTCTCGACTCTTAATCAGCCCCCCTCCGCGAAGCGCGGAAGCTTTGACGTTTCATTAAATTATTAGAGATAGAAGGCGATTCGTTGTACCGTTCTCTATACTCTTCTATAATTCTTGTCTGAATTTCAAAGATGTTTTTGTCTGCTCCTTTTTCTCCCTACGTCCTCTTCCTTTCCTCTCCTCTCTATTTTTTTCTATCCCCCCCCCCCCCCCTGGCTACGCGCCTGCGGTCAGATAAACAAATTTTGATACCTTGTCCGACCCGGGAAGCTTAGGGGTTTTAGGCATTTGATTACGGTCAGATGAACATATTTTTATACCTTATTTGTGACACTGGCAGGACACTAATTGGCGTGAGGTCCAGCGGGCGAAGCCCCCAGAAAACAGGGGTTTTAAGCATTAAATTTCCGTCAGATTAGCATCCAGGGTAGTCTAGGGCCCTAGGCGGGGTGCAAGGGACGGAACCCCGGAAGCTCAGGGGTTTTTAGGCGTTTAATTTCGGTCAGATGAGCAGCTAGTTAACTATTCTTTCTTTCTTGCTCTCTTTATTTCTATTTCTCTTTACTATACCTTTTCAAAAAAAGTGGAGGGGGGGGGGGGGGCTCGAGGCTTGCGATTCCAGCCGATCCCCGGGCCCTAACTTTTCTCAAGAATCATATTTCTTGCCTGGCTGTAAATTTAGGAATTTGTCATTTTCCAACAAACGCATACAAAAGTATAATTTACTAAAAACTGAGGAAAAATCTCGGAAAGAATTCAGCATTATTTGTATGGAATTAGAAATAAACCACGTTTGAATTTGAATTCCCCCAAGCCCCCCCCCCTCCTATCAGTACGCCAGTGCCCCCTTTTCTTCTTTCTCTTTTTTCTTCTTTCCATTTCTCTCCTCCTTAAGGTTTGCCGAGGGGGGGGGGTGGGGGGGGGGGGGGCAAGGGCCTTTCGGCCCCACCCCGATCCACACGTTGTTGGCGGGATTAACCGGAACTGATCTCCCGTTCTTTTCACCCTTTTCTTCTCTTCTTCCTCTTTTTTGTTCCTTTTTAGCTCTTTCCCTTTTCCTTCTTTCTCTCTTTGTTATAGCGGGGGCGGGGGAGGTAAGGGCCTTTTGCCCCTCCTCGATCCACCGGCGGGAAAATTGCAAATGATATCCCCTTTCTTTTCTTTTCTTCTTCCTCTTTTTCCTTCACTTTATCTCCTCTTACCCTTTCCCTTTCCTTCCTTTTCTCTTATTTTTTGATTGGAGGGGGAGGGGGTGCAACAGCCTGGGAGGCAAGGCCCTTTCGCCCCCCCCCCCCCCAATCTCCTTCTTCACCCGTTTCTTTTCTCCTTCCTCTTCTTTCTTCGGGCGCTACACCTCTTACAAAAACAAAATGCAAAAATATCCAAAAAGAGAGGACTGCAATGGGGAACTTCTATTTAAGCTACGCGACCATTATTCTCTCATTTCCTTTCACATTGTATCTCATAACCATGAGAATTGCCAAGCTATTGTATACGTTATTTCGTTACACGCACACACACGCACACACACACACACACACACACAAGATCATAACATGCACGAGTCTACAAGGTGTGAGAAAACTCTGATTCAGGAAAGAATGCAAGGGTGAAAGTAAAGTGGACACTCTCACATGGCTTCCATGGATGCCGTCTTTGTTTTCTTTTTGCCTTTTTCTTACTCCTTGACCGTTCGCGCATATTTTTTTTTACTAAACTGTTTAGCCATATATAGTACATGTGCAAGCACGTATACCCAGGGAGGGAAGGTAATAGAAAAGGGAAAACAAAAAATACATAAGGAGAGTGCAGAGGATATGGAGAAAGAAAGACAAAGAAATACATAAGGGAAGGGCTTTTAGGCACCAAATTACGCATCTAGGGACCCGCCTTAGGCCCCTTGGTTGAGTCCAGAGGGCAGAACCCCCGAAAGCTCAAGGACTTTAGGCATTTAATTACGGCCAGATGAGCAAACAGGGGCCCGCCTTAGGGCCCTTGGTGGGTTCCAGGGGGTAGAGCCCCCGGGAGCTCATGGAAAAATACTGCCATTTTGGCAATACTTATAAATCAAAGGTATCAAATTAAAAATAACCCATGTTTAAATTGTATTGGGGGGAGGGGTTACTGCCCCCCCCCATCAGTACGCCAGTGAAAGAGGCGGAGGTGACGGAAGGGACTACCCCCATAAAGCTGTATGATAAGTCTTATATGTAAACCCCTCGCAGGTTTTTGAAGATTTGTTGTGTTACAAAATTACATTCTTTAGCAAAACTACAGCATAAAAACAAGCAATATACTTTTTTCACGCTTCACTTTTACTTTGCCGATATCTAGTGTGCAGTCCGAAGGGTTGTAACGATTTACTAGGTAAATTTTAGTAAGTACTGAGCAGGAAGGGACTTCTTAAAAGAGCAAGCTGAATATTCATTTTTGGAACACTGATCTATTTCTATAACTTTTAATCTTGTTAACATACAGAGTAAACTTGACGTACGTGATACCAACAGAATACATATTTTCTACAATATTTACTCGCATATTTTTAGGATATTATGCGAAGGATCGTAGCGACCGAGCGAGAAGATTTTAGCATTTCTATTAGTCTAAACGCTGTAATCTTGGGCCCACCAGAGCCTTAAAGCGTGTTGCAGTCTTTAGTCAGTATTTGCTATACATTTTGTTGGTGTGCACTTTTTCAAATTATCCATGGGGGACGATCCCCCTCAGAAAATGGAGGGAAGACGTGTACCCCGTCCTTCCCCCGGGATCGCCGCCCCTGACTCGCACATTTCGCTTTCAATTGCAGAACGCTCTAGCTGTGTCCAAGAGAATAAATTCTCGGAATGTGGGGTATCTCGCAAAAGACATGGGGAAAAAAATGTGTCGTGTGAAAAGCCAGGGAAGGACACAGACACAAAGGCCCGAATTCACATAGGAGGTTTGTAGACAAACCTATGTTTATGTGCGTCATAATTATATAACGCGTTTCAGACAAAGGTTTGTCTAAACCTTGGTCTGAAACGCATCGAAACGCGTCATATGAAGCACATAAACCTAGATTTGTCGACAAACCTCCTTTGTAAATTCGGGCCAAAACCTCCATGGGTGCGATGTGACCTGTGTGGACGTTGGCTCCACCTATTTTGTGTTTTGCTCAAAAAACTATCCATAAAAAAGGACTATGTATGCCCCTTTTGTGAAGCGACCTATCAATATTAATGTTCACATATCAGTCCCTTTTTGGATTGCCCTCCTCCTGTCCCCCCCCCCCCCCCCCCCA